TTTGAATAGCTTATTGCTGGCTCACCTCCTGCAGCACACTTTTAAACAAAGATCAAAAAAATAAGATCTGTTCTCAGATGGTGGAACAAATTGCACAAAAAGAGACTGGTTGTGTTTGGCAGTCTGATGCATCACTTTGGGCTGCAGCAGGAGTTCACCTTGTTGCCACGTGAGGTTTTTCTTCCGGACTGTCGGAGAGCATTTTCTATCACTTGTGTTCCCATGTGTCAGTCCTGGAATAGTCTTTAGAATTCTCAGCTTGCCTTAGCTGTCGCCTGTGCCCACAGCCAGCCTCTTGCTCTCAGGCCCTGTTCCTGATGGGCCTGCTGCAAGCATCTGTTCTCTCAAATGCAGTATTTCCACTGAACCCCCAACGTGGTACACGGAACCCATTTCCCTGTTAGACTCTCTAACTGTGGTGTTGTGTTTTGTTTTGTTTTTTTTTATCTTTTTTTCTTAAAAAAAAGATGGTATTTATTTATTCATAAGGGAGAGAGAGAGGCAAAGACAGTCAGAGGGAGGAGCAGGCTCCCTGCGGGGACTGGATCCCAGGAGGTTTTGATCCTAAGAACGTTTGTAAACATAGCCTGAGAAGAGCCATTTCTTCCCTCTGGAATCCTTTGGTTCTGCAGATGGTGGTGATGAAAAGAAAAACATGGGACGAGAAAGTGTGAGTTCTGACCATGACATTTCTGCCTGCGGGACTTGCCTCTTGTTGGTTGTGTGACCTTAGGCAAGTTGCTCCACTCCTAACACACCTGCTGGGTATGTTTTCCTCATCTGCTGAAAAAGAAAATCTCTCCATAGAGGAGGGATGTAAAGATTGCATGAGGTTACTTGTAACCTGCTTAGAGTTGTCCTTGACCCCTTTCTGCAAAGAGGGGTTTTATTTATTTCTCTTGCTTTCTTAACTCTTACCTCCCAGCAGGGTGTTAAGGGGATGGGTTGTCCAAGAAGTAAGAGCTAGCCCTTCCTCGCCCAGTTAGTGCTCTCCTCCAACCTTTCCCCACTTCCTGGTATGTGCCTGCATCCACTCTCCTTCATGTATCTTCAGACACTGCGCCTGCACATAATGCTGAAGTCTCACCTAATCAAAGAGAAAAAGGTGTGGAGAAACCCCATTGTTACCTCTGCTTCCTGAAAGCTGCCATCAAGATCTCTCCTTTATTGAACCAATAAGCTTCTCTGGGAGTATCATTAGTTCGACTTCTTTATTCTCCACTTAGTGGTCCGTAAATGCTTGCCAACCGAGATCTCATTTCACCATTCTCTTGACCCTGCTATTTTAAATTGCCCTTAATTAAAACTCAGTCCTTAGATCTATATTTAACCAACATGGATAGTCTGAATATCCTAAAATGGTCGAACCATTTCAATAAAGATATAATTCAAGTCACATAGGTGATTTTAAATTTTCTAGTAGCCACATTAAAAACGTAAAAAGTTACATGAAAAGTGAAAAGTGATAATATATTTTGTTTAACCTAATGTATCTAAAATGGTACCACAGTATTTAATCAATACTAATATTCTTAACAAGATATTTGTGTTATTTTTTTCTTCTTTTACAAAGTCTATGAATTTTGCTATGTACTTTATACTTGGAGTACATCTTAGTTTGGACTTGACAGAATCAAATCACTCAATAGCCATAGAGGATAGTGTGGGTCTACATACAGCATTGGAGGGGATTGTCCTAGAACTCCTCTTTAAAAAAATATTTTTTTAAATTTATTCATGAGAGACACACACCCACACACACAGAGGCAGAGACACAGGCAGAGGGAGAAGCAGGCTCCATGCAGGAAGCCCGACATGGGACTGATCCCAGGTCTCCAGGATCAGGTCCTGGACCGAAGGTGGCGCTAACCTGCTGAGCCACCTGGGCTGCCCCAAGAACTCCTCTTTAATTTCTATGGCAGCTCTCGGTTTTCATTGAACATTCCCGAATGCTCCCGCTTTGAATTTTTGCTGACTTCTTTCTCTATCTCCCTTCACTCTAATAGGTGCTCCCCTTCCCCACCCAACCATCCCCCCCCCCCACAAAAAAAAAGATCTTTATTCCTTCTCTTAGTTCTACCTCCTCTGGGCACTGAATACCTAGAATGTTATGTCAAACTGGTAGGATGATCATGAACACATTGCTTAGTTCAAACAGAAAGGTGGGAACTAAGAAGAAAGAGGAAAAATGTTCTAATTTTCCCCTTACTTCATCATTGCCAGGAACTGATTTCTGGTGTATACTCTGAATGTGTTTTTTTTTTTTTTCCCTTCCTCCCTTTCTACATCCCCTGAACCCTTGGCTCATTTCATCCTATTGCAAGGACCATATTCTACAGAATGTCCTGTGCCTCATTTACTGTACTTATTACTCAAGCTTTTGGACCGCAGCTGATATAATTTAAGTGCTTAGAAAAAGTGCTTTTGGAACATGTATGCAGCTGTCTGCAGTAGCTACTTGTGGGATGCAAGGACTGATTTATTGGGTGGCCCAATGTTATGGTTGACTAACGCTCAGTAATCTAGGGTGTCCTGCTTTTACCTCAGAAGGACTCCGAGAGCCTGTTCTGGGTGCATCCCACAGCACCACCTAGTAAATCTGATCCAAGAGGCTGCTCACGTGTGTGATGGATGCCTCATGATGAGATCGACTACTTAGGATCAACTACTTACTTCTGAGTTTTATGCCAACTTGTTTTTTATGTTTCCTCCCAGGGTGCATTTGGTAGTAAAAATGTATAGACCTAGAGAGTCAGGATGCTTTATCAGGAAAGCAGATACAGAATAGCAACATAGATCTTTAACACATTCACTTATAGGAAATGGCATTGCCACACAGGAATAGTATCCTCTGGGGGTTGAAATAGTATTTGCCAAATCTAGGGGATGAGGTCAGTAGATACCTTTTAAAAATCAAAACACTCCCTCCTTTCCGGCTTTCATCACTGCTGGCATGTGCTACATGACAAGTCTTTGACTCATAAAGTTGAATAGGATTATCTGAGGGTTCAGGGTCCTCACCTGTTTTTAGAGATTAGCAAACACCTGTTTGTACTCGTTTTTTTTATTCACTCAGATCCTATATTAAAGCTTTCCCTATTAAAACATTCTTGAGATTTCTGAGTTCTTCCCATGTTAGCTAAGAATAAATGAAACTTACTCCCAGTACTTAATAAATGCTCTCTTAAATTTATATTCATGATCCATTTTTCTTTGATGAAACCTTTAAATTATCCCCCTACTTGTGGTTTTATACAGGTTCACTGTATCTTTTGTGAGAAATTGTTTTTGTAAAAATTAAACAAATTAGTGAATAAACTTTATAGCTCTTATTAAAATACTCTCTGTGGGTTCTAATATGCATATTATATATATATATATATCACCTAGTTCTAATTGGGATAACAAAGACAGATTATCTTCAAATAATGGTAAATACATCAATACAATACTTCAGATATTGGTAATGTGTATATTGCACACAAATTACCAAATATTCTGGAAAAAAAATGAGATGCTTCATATCAAAACTGCTACAGGTTTGCCATTATTTTTTAATTGCTAAACGCTGGTTAGCAAAGATTTACAATTCAGGAAGCTGGAGAAACCCTCTTACCCCAAGCTGTGCTGTTTATTTCATCCTGAAAAATGCTAAGTGTTGATATAGACCATTCAATCTCATAATCAGCTTTGTGCTATCAGCCCTATAATAGTAATACCTCTTCTAGGTAACTCCTAACTTGACTTTTGTGTAGTGGCGGGGAGGGGATGTACATTTATTGTATGGAGCTTTAAGACTGACCTAGCTTTCTCTTTGACCACCTACTTCACACGTATCTCTATGTATTAGGAGTTCAGAGAAATCCTGAGGTTGTTGCAGGCAGGACAACATAGGTGGGGAAAAAAGTATAATATAATGTTTGGGCATTGCCCGCCATTTTAAATGGGATGCCAGGATTCATTTTTCAGGCTTGAAGTAATTCCACCCAATGACCAGGGCTGTAAGACTTTAGATTACCTAAGAAGGCAGCAGGGCACAGTGAAAAGAGCATGTACTTTGGAATAATGTAGGTTTGGAGACTATACCCGGCCCACCGCTTACTATATGGCCTTAGATATGCTGCTTCACCTCTCTTCATCTCTACAATGATGATATCATGCTTGTTAGAGAGCTGTTGAGAGAAATAGAGATGATGGCCAAAAAGCAAGTAGCGAACCGTCTATCCTGTTGTGGGCTCTTAAGGACCAGTAGCTGTGATGTGATCATGGAGATAACACTGTATAGGATTTGGGAGTAAAAATCTCTTTGCTTGAACTGGAATAAGGAATCTGCATCCATGTCATTGGCCCCATGTCCACTTATGTCATCATTTAAAAATGTACAGCTTCTTTCAAGTCCTTTGCTATTTATTGTTTCAACACTGTGTAAAGCACGTATTGTAAATCAAGTCTAAATGAATGTGAGTCATGCCCTTTAGCTATTTATAATACCAACAGAATTTTAATAACTTGTCTATTTACTTTCTGAAGACAGATTTTCAGCAATTGCAGCAATTGCATGGCTGAAATATTTTTTCATTGTCTTTGCAGAGTGGAAATATAATTCTACATAGCTATTTAATATCTTCATGTAGGTTTATATAACAATATTCACCTTCATCTTTTTATCCAGGGAAGATTTATATTCTAAAAGAATGCATGATTTATAGACTGTGGGAATCTATTCTGGTTCTTCATTTTTAGGAAATTTTGAACTATTTTCTTCATTCCATGTAGCCAACTGAACTAATATATCATTTTCATGCATTTTGGGGATTATTTTTTTCTCTTATATACAGATTAAATGAAGAAAAATAAACCTGATCATATTAATTTAATGTGTGAGATAAATTTATGTAGAAAGAAACTGAAGTAGCTTAGGTTTTGAAAATATTTCTGAATTTCGACTTACTTATCCTAATCATTTAAAATTTCATCTCTCTTTGTTGCTTCTTACCTAGGTTACTTGTTGGTTTCAGAAAACAATAAGAGATTTACAGGAACAAAGTCTAGGTTCATCGCTTTCAGACAATGAGGAACTAATCTGTAAGCATGAGGAATTGATAATAAAAGCAAAGGTAAGAAACATATTAAAAATAATTTTTAAATGAATGGTCTTCTTTTGAATATGCTTCTGTAGGTAATGTAAAGAAGTACTAAAACTCTCTCTCTGAATAATCCACTATTTACAGAGAAAGGATTCTGATAGCCTTAGCTAATACCACTACCTATTGACTGGGCTTTTAGAATAATAGAGAACAAAGCAGCCTCTACAACAATAACTATCATCTTTTGAATAGTTACCATGTATCAGCAGTTATATTAAGTATAAGAGAGTAGGAGTAGGTATTATTTTACTGATCAAAACAAACTAAACACAAAGGCTTGGAGATGCAAAGTAACTTGACCAATGTAATATATCTTGTCAGCGGCAGAGTTGGAATTCTTTTTTTTTTTTTAAGATTTTATTTATTCATTTATGATAGACATAGAAAGAGAGAGAGGGGCAGAGACACAGGTGGAAGGAGAAGCAGGCTCCACACTGGGAGCCTGATGTGGGACTTGATCCTGGTGCTCGATCCCGGGGCTCCAGGGTCATGCCCTGGGCCAAAGGCAGGTGCCAAACTGCTGAGCCACCCAGTGATCCCCCAGAGTTGGAATTCAAAGCAGATCTTATCTAACTCCAAGGCCCAGGCTCCTAAACTATATTCTGCTAGCTTTCTAAAAAAGTTTTTTTTTTTCCTGCACTAAGATTTCATTATGATTTCCAGGTGTAGTTTGCTTGCTGTTCTCATTTATATTTCCCTATTTCCTTAACGTGCTTCACCTTTCTTTTATTTTGCAAAAAAGTAATGGTCACCAGCCAGTCAACCATTTGTAGGTTTGTGGACTGTGCAAAGTGGAATCATGAAGTATTGAAAGCAAGATGAGCAGAGCATCCATGTAAAGGTGCTTCTCTCTTGATATTTGGAAATGGTGTCTTGTTATTTGGAAATTGAATCATTTGTATCTGTGGGGTCTATAAATACTTCCAGAGTTCTTCACTGATGTGAAGATCTCTAAGGAAACAAAAATCCATTTGTAGTAGATTGAATAGGAATGGTGAAAACTTCAATCAGTATCAAGACTTAAGAGAACTTTCCATTATTAATGTCTTGAGTGGTTGATAGTTGTAGGTACAGCCAAGTATTGAAGCTCTGGAAAACAATGGGCCAGCACTACTAGATAAGGGTTGAAAATAAGGAAGACAAATAAATAAATATTTACGTGTTTGGGAGGAAGGGATTGGTGGCGGGCAGAAAGGAGGATGGGCATGGAAGGAGAAGCAGTAGACTGCATTTATCTGGACTGAAATCTCATAGGAATCATAATGCTTTTGTTTGTTTATGGCTTCTCTCTGAACACTGCAGCATACACAAGCATTCCATATGTTTGGTCTGAATATTTGCCGGATTGATAAAAGATGCAATTACAGAAGACTACTATGACTGATGATTTTTAAAAGTTCTTTAAAATGCTCAGCATTTGGTTGATCTGTTTAGGAAATTAATTTTCTTCATTGAGTTTAAACAGCAGTTTACTCTGTGGGTGTCACAAGTTTTATCAGTGAAAATTCCATCAAATTCCCTAAATGTCAAACACAAGAGAGGACCTGAATTGCACAGGATGGCTGCCTTATTAAAACAAACAAAAATGGCTTATTTACGTTATTTAGTTATACTTGGGGTTATAGTCCCTGTAACTATAGACTAATCATGGTTTCTCACAGTCTGGATAAAAATATTTGTTTGACATACAACCTCAGTTCTTTTTTTTTTAATTTTTTTTAATTTTTATTTATTTATGATAGTCACAGAGAGAGAGAGAGAGAGAGAGAGAGAGAGAGAGGCGCAGAGACATAGGCAGAGGGAGAAGCAGGCTCCATGCACCGGGAGCCCGATGTGGGATTCGATCCTGGGTCTCCAGGATCGCGCCCTGGGCCAAAGGCAGGTGCCAAACCGCTGCGCCACCCAGGGATCCCACAACCTCAGTTCTAATAGGACTTTGGCAAGTTCTGTTGTATAGATATTAATGTTCTACTTCTATCCTCAAAGTTTTAACTAGCTCCTAGTTCTTTATTCTTAGGAAATGCCTGACCTAGCTCACTAACTCTCCTAAAGCGCTTTTTCTATTATTTGGCCCTCTTGCCAAGTTTCTTGACTTCACTGATTCCATTTTTCATGCCCAATGCCTCACACTGATTCTGCTTCATAATTGTTTTTACTTGCTCCATTTGTCTAATGTTCTTCCTTATATCTTAAGGTATACTTTATTCACACATCAAATGTTTGATCTCTCCAGTGCCTTAATTCTACTTCCTCTGACTCAGGTATTTCAGTGTGTTGCTTGCGCTCATCAGATTATTATTTTACCTTGAGCTAGTATTCCTTTGGGATATCAGCAATTTTGACTGGTAAGGCATGGGAGGTGTGAAAGTGGGTGATCTAATCTGTCACCTTCTGGTGCAGGGAGCTTCTGTTGTTACATTAGGGCTCAATCATTCGTGGTCTTCCCCTTGACCCCAGATACCTATAAAGGATGGGATTTCTTGGAGGGCTTCCCCCTGATTGGACTCTCAATCCTGCTTTATTCTAAGACTCATGGGGTACTGGACCAAAGAACAAAGACCCCAGACCCTGGGAATGTTCTGTCCTGTTCACTTAGTGAGAGTTGGAGATAGCTCACTAAGAAATAGGTCAGTTTGATTACCTCTCATATTTTAGCTCTCTACCTGGTAGATTCCAATGCTGTCCTGATGTTTCTTCTCTCTGGATGCTACTAGACCGGCACTACTCTTTTTTTTTCCTGAAAAAGGTACATTGACAACACTGACCAAGCAGATGGGGAAAGAAAGCATCATACTCAGCAAGTTCTCCCCTGGCATATCTCCCATCATGATATGTAACTTTATTCTATTCTAAGCCATATGGCCCTGACACCAAAACCCAACCACCTTTTGGCTCCTCAAGGAGAGTTCTTATACCTGTAAACTTTATTCTCACTTTGTTGGCCTTTAGAGGAAGGACCAGCTACATTATATGTAGAATCAGAGCAAAATGAAAACATGGAGGAATTTCTTAATAAATTATTGAAATTTCAATACAGCAACAGCAGAGCGTTAAATCCAGCATGTGGCTCTTCTAAATTCAGGGCTCTGTGTGATGATCTGGGTCCTTTGCCCATAAAGCCAGTCCTATCTACAGTATTAAGATTTCTGACAGGACCTACCAATCTTTGCTGGTTAGATGCTTTCCTTAGCTACCTCTACTGACCTCTTCCCACCTAGATGAGCAAGTTTTCTGAAAATAGATTATAATGTTATAATGGGTTGCATCCACATGATAAAAAACAGATTCAAATCCCTGCTGTCACTCACTATGTAACTTTGGGGACATTTGACCTCTTTGAGCCTTACCTTCCTCACCTATAAGGAGGGAGCATGAAAATTCAATTAGAAAATATCTGTGAAAACACTCACATTTTAGTTGTGGCTCAAAAATGTTTTTCTTTTCCCATCGATGGTGTAAATGTTCAAATAGTTTTCATCTGTGCTTTTTCACCCATCTCATTCCTTGTTCTTACAGATGGATTCTAATTTTATATGGCTTTAAACAGGAACCAGCATATTATGTTTTGGAGTTTTGTTTGGGTGTCAGTATGAGGACAGGAAGGGGAATGTGGCTTCCAAAGGAGATTTTATGTATGAATAAGGCCTCAAACTGGGAATTCATTAGTGAAACTCATATAAATAACCTGGTAACACAGGGAAAGTAGGTGTTTCTGCTCCCCACAGCTAAACTGAACAGCAGAGAGGTGTTCTGTATTGATTTTTTTAAAGCAGTAAGGTTTTTAAAAATAAATTTTGAAAATGCCTGTATCATTTCTTACTAGAATATAGTCAAATAAGAAATATGGAAAACTTTCTATCTTAATAAATGTGATGCCTTATTCAGAATGTGTTGAAATAATTGAACCAAATTTTTATTATAACCTTTGACTATAAATAAATCATGTTAAATCATTACACTTTGTTTTACTAAATGTGAAAAATATTTTTCTTTTACATATGTAGCAGATAAAGAAATAGCAGACATTGATGATTATCAACTACCCTTTTGTTGAGACTTTAAATACTCTTCAATTTTATCATGTATTAATTTGATTCCCCAAGGCTTGAATTCAAACTTTAGAGCTCAGAGTTGGTTTTAGAATGTATTAACATAATATGCAAATAAACACTTTCCTATTATCTCATTTGAGGAGGCATAATCATTCCTTCTCCTGCAGATCAGAAATAATGTTCATATAAGAACTGCCTTCAAGAATGAGCTTGTAGGGATCCCTGGGTGGCGCAGCGGTTTAGCGCCTGCCTTTGGCCCAGGGCGCGATCCTGGAGCCCCAGGATCGAATCCCACGTCGGGCTCCCGGTGCATGGAGCCTGCTTCTCCCTCTGCCTGTGTCTCTGCCTCTCTCTCTCTCTCTGTGTGTGACTATCATGAATAAATAAATAAAATCTTTAAAAAAAAAAAAAAGAATGAGCTTGTACTTCTGTTGAGAGGAAAACTTTTTCTCTTCCAATTTGTGTCAAGTGTTTGGGTGCCTGCAAATTAATTGACAACAGACAGATTAACAGGAATAAAGACAGGCTTATTTTCATACATACATTGCATATATGCATGGGATGTCCTAGTAATGGAAATCTGTTTCCAAAGTTGAGGTTTATATATATCAATTTAACAGAAAAGGGGTGGGGAGATTAAGGCCTTGGTGGAAGAGTATGGAAGGTTCTATCGGGCTTTTTGCTTCTAATGAAATGGGCAGTCTGTCTTCTTCCTGGCTGAAAGTTTCCCAGTGGGAGAGTTTGTGGTAGCTAAATTGTACTCCTTGGTAGTAAGGGTCAGTCTTCTTTTAGTTAGGAAATGCCCTGGGAAGAGGGTTAATGGTAGCTGTATTTTCAGGAGACTCTGCTTAAGTTTAAGTAATATTTCTGTGACTGCTGATTGTTCAGGTGTTTTCAGTTTAAAGTAATTTTCATACC